ATTCCCCTAACCATAAAATTATTCTACCATCTTCTCCCTCTCTCCATCTTGTCTCTACCTAATACGCACGGCTCTACCACCCCTTTCGACAATAGGCGTTCTCCTACCTCTTATGCTACCGTCCTATTGCGCTACCACCGCTCAACCTTGCACCATCGTTATATTGTGCGTGACCATATTGCACCAACCCCACCACTCAGCCTTGCACCACTATTGTGCTACCACTGCTTAGCCTTACACCACTATCATGTCGTGCCTAACCATATTGCACCAACCCCACCACTTAGCCATGCACCACCATTGCCGTGTTGTGTCGCCACCACTCACCTCGCACCAATACCCATTTCGACTTGCATGTTGAATGTTTTGATTTGGCTATGCGAATCGATGTTTTTTTATCTTAGTTTTGAGTCGATAGGTAGGGGACTTTGTGGATAAAAAGGCATGACGAAAATGGTATATATAATTAGTCGGTTAAGCTATTGATTTAAGGTACGAGGTCGTGGTGTTTGATGCAATGACAAATAATATACTAGCGCTTCTATTGGGAGATTTGTTGGTTTTATGAGTTTTGTTGGTCCCATTTGAGGAAATGTGGTCACGATCTGGTGCTGAAAATTTTGGGGCGAGTTCTATTGGTTGTGTGTAGTTGGTGGGGTAGGCATGTAGTGGTGTAGGTTGTGATGGTTGCGATCGTGGTTGTACAGTTTTTAGGGGACGATGGTTATTTCGATTTTTGGGTGGCGAGGGTTTTGGCATGGGCACCGTTGCTAGCCGTGGGAAATGTGGGGGAAGATTTAAACTTTTGGGTGTTGAAGTTTTTTTTGGGGGGGGGGGTTGGTGGTGGTTTGCAAATGGTCGTGATGTTTGTAGTTGGTGGAGACGATGCTCGTGAGGCGCGCGATGGTCGGCAGTGACAGCGGTGTTGGTAGTGGAGGTGCTGTGGTGGTTGTGGGTGGCATGCTATGGGGGTATGAGTGTTTGTGACCAATTATTTAGTTGATTGTGATCAATAAATTGGTTAATTTGTGACAAATAAATAATAAATGATCAATTATTTGAGATTGTGATCAATAATTTGAATATTTTGTAATTAATAAATAATATATGATCGATAACTTGTAAGTCATAACTTATAAAATTTGTGATTTATGACCAATAAATAAATTGTGACATATAAATTTTTTGAGTTGTGATCGATGTATAAATTGTGACATATAATTTTTTTTATTAGTGACCATAAAATAATTTGTGACTAAATAGTATAGAGTTGTGACGTTAATATATTTAATCAATAAAATATGCTTTTAATTAATTATTTTATAAGTAAAATTTAATTAATATCCGATTTTCGAAGTTGTAAATAATCTTTTCTAAATTTTAAAATTGATCGCATTTTAATCTCTCGTGGAATTTTCCCATACACCAAAGACAAAGCGACCATTGCATCCTGCTAAAGAGCAACAGGCGGCTGCTGCCTAAAAAACCACGCGACACTGTTCCACTGCGAAGTTACTAACTAGTCTCCAGGTGTTTGAGGAAATGCCCCTATGCCTCTGTCAGCATATGGTTATCGAACGACAACTTCCAACCGTTCGACGAAACGCCCAAACGAGACATAGCCTCGTGGGTATCAATTTTCTCAGCCCTCACCCAAGCCACGTCTCTTTGTTGTGGGGTCTCTTACAGAAAAATGTTAAAAGAGGTAATTATGCAATATTGCAACTGGTTTAGCATTATCAGCTCTCTAGGGAAAATCAGGTCAGGACCTTGTGAGATGAAGAGACCAGTCGACTTTAGCGAAACACCCTTTGACAGAGGAAGCAGTAGGAACAAGAATGCTTCGTGCAGAGTATTGAGCACGGCAAAAGGGGTAGTGCAGGCGAGGGTCAGAGACAACCACATGATTTGTCTAACAGGTGATATGTTAATTCAACAGCACTACTCAGTGATTATTATTACTTTTTGACATTTTGCCGAAAGTCCAAACAATTTGATGTCTGGATTATCAACACAGGATATTTATGCACAGCTCATGATATTGAATATTTAACCGAAACTTTACTATGTTGCATACCATTTTTTGGTATATACGCAAGTAAATGAGAACTCTTCTGGGTACTGAACATGTCCTAACCGTCATATTTATGCTTCCTTTCTGCATTTGCATATTCATTTTACGTGTCCCTTCATTTTTATTTTATTTTTAATTCCTTTCCAAATTTTCTTTTGCGTTTCACTTAAGAATATTAATTCTTCCGCTGTAAACTTGGTTCTATTGACATGAGCAGGTATTCAGAAAAAAGATGCTGACACATTCCGGGGCCTAGTTTGGACGGAAGTTTCTTGAAGTCTAGATCTGGTTTGTTCTTTTGGCTCATTTAGTATTTTGATTCTTGTCTTGTTTTGTCTTGTCTTTAGATACAAGAAAGGGAAGTTTATTTGTTAAGGTATTCTGGAGTCCGCATCTGAAGAGTTTAAATGATGTCAATTCATCGTATACATTTTTTGAAATTTGAAGTAAAGAAGAAAAGAAATGTAATAAAAAAAGGTGTTAAAAAAATATATTCGTGTATTTGGTTGCAGTAAGGCTCTACACAGTGGAGAATACTTTGGAATTGATTTCACTTTGGGAAAACTAATGAACCTTACATATAACCTATCCAAGTATGTCAAAATTTCTCGGTACTTCAGTCCGGGAATTTTCGAAACCACTCCTAAATCCCCAATCATTGCTTCTGGGATTTTGGTTTTCATTTTCGTGCCTCGTATCTTTCTATGTACTCCATACTAGGTAGGTTTGAAATAACATGGGCCTCATGCTCGGCTGTTATCTTATGTACTGTCTGCTTTGGAAGGATATTGTGTTTACAAAAGTAGTATATGATTGAATCCCATTGGCATTCTTATAATTTGGTATACCTAATTCCAAGGCCAGTTTCGGGTTCACTCGGAACTTTGGCAACAACCAAAGGAGGTGCTGTATTCTCCTCCATGTTTTACTTCCGTGTAGGTAGGAGAAAGAAAGTAAAAAACCTGTATACATTTTAGGTTATAAAGAAATAACTCTAAAAGCTAAGAATGGCAATTAAATGACCAGAAAATGCATGACAAGCGGGTGAACACCCAAGTGGAGACGCAAGCCTTACATAGACCTGTACTCAAGGCATAAGTCTCGGTTATGTTTTTTAAACAATGGAAATTATGGTTACAATTCACAGGGTACCCATAATATTCCCATTGACGATAGATTGAGCATGCAATAGTGGGTACAAAAATCGTAACGGGAATCAAGGAAAGAATAATTAGCATTGGTTAATGACGTAAAAAAGATCCCACTATCTGGATCTGTAGAAAATGAAAAACGATTGTGGATGCTTTGTTGTATTGAGACGTAATAAAATAATATATGTTTGCTGATATTGGGTTGTAGAATAAGGAGAAATAAGCAGGAAAAGTAACAGTTTGTTATATAGAGAATAAATGATTGATTTTAGAGAAGGAAAAGGCTTGTGCAATTACTATCGAAATAGATGAGATTTATCAAGTGATTGACATTGCATGAGATAGGGAATGCTATATATGGAAAAATTGAATGTCCAACATTCAAGCACATCGCGTCGTAATCTAAAATGGAATATTTTCTTCTATTGGTCAATCATTTTGTCAGATCTGGACAAAATAAACATTCGCCTTCCAATACATGTCAACTATTTTCCTGTTCTCATCTCAACAGTTACCTGCATTTATTACCTGTATTAACATCGGCCGCTTAAAAGATTTTACATTCTTTTCAAGCTACATGATATATTTTTACCATTCTTATTTTCTACATATAGCATCACAATTTGTTCCTTATATCATACTACATAAACTTCACATACAAATATTCTTTCACTATTTTTACCTCTTTCCTTGCATACCTAAACTGGAATCCATAGAGAATTGACCAGCAATAAAAGGTATCTTCAAGCATTTTGTTGGTATTTTGGATGACATTTTTATGGGAACAACGCCTTACAAATTCTAAAGATTTTATAGGAGTTTGGAGTAGGAATATTTTCTTTATCAAGTATATACCATTTTTCTTTGAATAAGGTTTATTTAAACAAATATATTGGAGTGAAATCCTTTACTCATCGATATGAATTAATATAGAAGAACCAAATGCTCATAAGATGAATGTAGCAGAAATGAATTGTTAAAATTTGAGATGGATGTGCTGCTATACTAAAATGAATGAGATTAGAAGTGAAAAGATATAACAACAGAGGAAGTGTCACTAGCTGAGGATAAATGAAGGAATGTGACTTAGGTGGCGAGGACATGTTTTGAATAGACTTAAAAAAGATCTCCTTCACAAGAGCAATGCAGTAGAACGTGTTAGAAGATAAAGAGATGAACTATCATTGTCTAAAGTGATTGCCGAGGATTTTATTGCATATCCCGTAGATGTTTATGATGGATCGAATGAATGATTCATTAACTAAACCTCAATTTACTAGAAATAATGCTTATTTTTTAGCTTTTTGTTGATATGAATTGGTGAATTTTATAGCTAATAAATATACTGCTGTACTCATCCCAATATTGCATCCTTTCAATATGTTTAATTTAGAGAGAACCTCAATGTATCTTCCTTCTTATTTATTTATTTATTTTTAATAAAACTAACTCTGAGTTTAACTTTTTTGACATGGGAGTGCCTTGTACCTATTTGAGCTAGTTCTCTCTAAATGAGATCGAACAATTCAGTTTCATCTTTGCTCTGAACTAAGGCAGTGCCACGGGTAGCATGAAAAACAATAATGTTAAATATGTACTAGTTTAAACTTGAGCTATATATATTAAAAAGTAATAGCACTATTACATGTTCGTAAAATTTTGATTCAGATTGAGTAAAAAATCTAGAGGATGCTCAATTTACAATAAGAACATTTCATACCATTGGTTATTCATGGAAGTGCTACTGACCATGTAAGAGCCCCTGCTAGTGGAAAATCAAAATTTAATGAGGCTACTAAATTTACTTATGCCATGTCATTGTTCAACAATTCTATTTAATGAAATGATATCCTTATGTGTTAGCTTCTAAATCAACTTGTAGGTTCAAATGTAGAGTTATCGTATGTATAGGAATTTATTAGTTTGCATTACCACTACCTTCCTTCTGTTTAGGGAATTTTTGCTTCATTTATAATCTCTACAAGTTAAAGTGATTTTTTTTTTTTTTTTTAAACACATAAGTTTAATTGATTTATAGCAATTAATGGACAGGAAATAATTGGCAAGCAACTTTTGATGGATTAGACATATATCTGGAGGGTATTAAGTTGCATATTCAAACCTTATTAGGATTTTTTTTCTTGGTTTAAGGAATTGCACGTAGATAAGTAGCTATGAAATAAAACAGCCAAGATGATTCGTCAATATCCTAAACTAAATTCCAGAAAACATTGATTGATTATATATTATTAAATAAGCATTAATTTGCTTTACCAGTAGACAGTTGGACTGATTGATGGTTTCGGTTACGCACTTTCATTTATCCAAAAAGCCATACATCTTTTATACATCATAATTCAATATAGTTCTTGATGTTTTTTGAGTCATTGGATTAAAAAAAGTTGACTTATTCATCACCCCACCCTGTTCACAATGTGACCTTCCCAATTTTACTCATCCCTGCTTCCCTGCCCTGACCCTTGAGTTCCATCTGATATGACAGCGTAAATCATTTTGTATTCTCGAATCCAATGGTTGCCTGCCTTTGACCAGGTCCGAGCGATAAACTTAGCTCTGCCCCTTTCCAACCTGTTATTAACATCAGCAATGAACGGCTGCCTTTTCCTACTACTACTACAGATGTAGGTTGAAGGCATTGTTTGGTGAGTTGGGCCAACTGTATATTTGTAGACATCTGGTTGGACTGGAAGAATGTCATTGATCCGCATGTTTACTGCAGAATCAGATTTAGCTCTGCATATGCCACTATAAATTTCGACGAGATTCTCTAAATCTCTTGATATGATAAATTGATTGGGCAGGAAAAGCTGAAAAAATTGGTAGAGAACATTTAATATATAGAAGTATTACTGAGTACACATGTAGAAAGAACAGTTCAGACTTCTCTTGCGGGCAGCTTGGGCAGCACTGTCAGGCTTCCTTTAGAGTTGGCTAGCCTTGGAATCTTTCACGCTAAATACAGATGGAGCATCAAACCTAACACGTTTCTGTTTGCCCTCTTATGTTTCAACACGTCAGCACTCCAAAAATTATCTATCTATAGATACATCAGTTACATATATATACAATTACATGCGAGTGGATGGTGTGTTAAGATTTTTGCTTGTATACAAGGTAGGTAGTTGGGGCTATATCAATTAGGTTTTGGTAAGTTAAGTGAAAATAGTGGAAGTAGATCCTCGGTATAGCAGAATGCCAAGACCTAATGGCGATTATTCACGTGAGACTAGCCAGGAGAGGAGGCGGAGAAGGATTGAGATAAGGCGGAACGCAGCAGTTATGGCAGCCGGTGGTGAGTCACTGTCCTTTACTCCAGGTGTTCATCTCAGGCAGGGAGGGCCGAAGGTTGTTAGTCACCAGGATCCACATCAGGGTGGTTCCATGGATAGAGCTGATCTTTCTCCCATTGTTCATCACCGGCAGGGAAGCCAGGGTGTTGTTATCCACCAGAACCAACGGCAGGGTGGTTCCACTGCCGGGGCTTATCCTTTGTTTATGACAGGTTCTTCAGAGGACGATCCAGACGAAGTGGCAGAGAGAAACTTGAATCTCGTGCCTGGAGTTGTGATTCCTGTGGTTGGAGCAGTAGCAGTTGCTGGGATGCTTCAGAGAATGGAGGATGCTGTGACTGTTCAGACCAACTTATGCTCGCCAACTATTAATCATCGCCATCCTGTGCATTTCTTTGGTGTTTTTGATGGACATGGAGGAGCTCATGTAAATTTCACCATCGCTAATCTCCTCTTGCCACAGTTTCCATTTTCCAGAAAACAAAAAACTATAAAGAAGAGCTAGAAATTATAAAGTGAAATTTATGATCACTGAAAATGACAGCATGATTGGGGTTTTTCTTTTAAAAAATTATTATCTGAAAACTAAATAATTTAGTAATAATTTCCTTTGAAGCTTATTTTTTTTTCCTTTACCTGTTAAAAAGTAACATGTTATCTAATTGACTATAATTTTCAGGTGGCCATAATGTGCAGGGACTGGATGCACGTGATATTGGAGGAAGAACTGATGCGCTTTGAGTGCCCCATACTACCAAGTTCAAGTGTCGCTAGCAGCTTCAGGGCACCAGCACTAGGACAACCTGATGTTGAATGTTTTCTTAAAGAGGCATGGACACAGGTGTTCCAACGGTGTTTCTCAAGAACAGAGGAGTTGGCAATGAATATGTGTCAATGTGGGCGTGTGGGGTTCGAGTGCAGCTGCAACCAAAATTGGTTTGTCTACTCAGGGTCTGCGGCAGTGGTGGTGGTTTTGACTGATGAATACATTGTGGCAGCAAACTGCGGTGATTCACGTGCCATCCTCTGCTGCAATGGGAGTGTAATCCCACTCACTGTTGACCACAAGGTATATCCTGATAGCAAGTTGCATTATCCAGCACCGGCATGCATTAATGTGTTTTCAATGATGACATTCATAGAACTGACCTCTGTAGCTTAGATATTGCAGGGTACATCTATGGCGGGACCATTTATCCTGCTGATTCTGGTTCCGAATGTAATAGCCAGTTTTGGTCCTTGAGCACATTGAAGATTTAAAATTGTTCTTATCTTCCCGAAGAAAAGACAGAATCAGAAAGTAGAAAGATAGAACAGAGCTAGTTTTGTGATTAACACGTGATTGGCCTACACCATACACATAAATTTGTGCATATGTGCTTGTGGACATATATACATGCTTAGACACATGGAAACGTGCATGTGTTAAACATCTTGGATTGTGGTAGATAATTGGTTAACCCCGAGTTCCAGGGGATTATAATTTTGATTCTAATGGTGATTTGAACAAGTTTAACATATCTTGAAATGTGAGATGAAATTAATATTTTTCTTATTACTCTCTATTTAAACCGAGCTAACTGGGATGGGTAGGAGTTCTATCAATAATCATTCTTTGGAAGTATTTTTCTGTAACTACTCTATAACTCTATCGATAGTTCATTGATTTAATCTTTCTTAATGTGTAGTTCTAATATTCTTATTTTGCGTGCAGCTTAATAGACCAGATGAACTTGCTAGGATAGAAGCAAGTGGAGGATGTGTTTTTGTTTTGGATGGTGCACCACGTGTTGGAGGGATTCTGGCTATGTCACGAGCAATAGGTGATTTTTTTTCTTTCTTTACATTCTGCTTGCATTAACTGGATGAACTATTTTGGCCATGTTGTCACTTTTTAATTCCATGAAAGCCTAGCATGTTTTAATATGAACCTTGAGAATTCATGTTGCTCTACTTATTCTCACCAATATCAATACAAATGTTTGTTATTGTCTTTGACAATTATTAATACTTTTACTGGATCAGATTCAAATTAGTCTCAGTGTAATTTGTTGTATAAGATAATAATAGAACTCATTTTGCTGTTTAGTAATTGATTTGTGGATTATCTCTGGGCGTATACTTAACTATTTGTCAAGCCTAAATAAAAAAGCTTTAGCTTTAGACCATGTTTGGCTAAGCTTAAAACAGTTTCCTTACAAGTAAATTTATTCAGAAAGACAATAAGTTTTAACATAAATAATTACTTATTCGTCAAAGTTAGACATAAATAAGTTATAATTTGATGGTAAGTTAAGAATTACTTTCAAAATAAGTAACTTTTTTCAATTAAAAGTAAGAAAAAAGTAAGTTATTCAAATGTGTTTCGAAACAAAAAGTTACTTTGAATGCTCTAGTTGTACATTTTGGTGCTTCACTTTCGTTCGTTTTTCAAGCAGGAGACGGGTATCTAAAACCTTATGTGATATCGGTGCCTGAAATCACTTTCGTAAGGAGGACTGAGGAACAAGATTTTTTTATTATTGCGAGTGATGGCCTGTGGGATGTAATGTCCAGCGAGATGACATGTCATGTCGTCGGAGAGTGCCTAAGAGATGAAAGATCTGGAGGAAATGAAGGGCGTGGATTACTCCCATCCCTATGTGCTTCAGCTGCAGGGCTACTGACTAACCTTGCCATTGCCCGAGGAAGTGCCGACAATATTACTGTTGTAGTTGTTGATTTGAAGAGGACGATGACGGCATGAGAGTTTGGAGATCATAAGCGCTATTCACTATATAGGAAAGTAGGTTTTTAAGCTCATAGAGCAAGTAGTCTGAAGACTTTGAGATGAACGGTTCAATAGCCTATTATCTATTTTAAATAGAATGGATTTGGCTGGTTATTTTGTGGATGAAATCTTGATTACCCTTTCCTTTCACTTAATTTCAATCTAAATTGTGTTCGTGATTGATGAACCAGATAAGGGATGATGAAATGTTGGATGAAAAATGACTAGTTCTCTACTATAGTTGATGTAGGCCATAAACTCAATGTAGAAAAGTTTATATATCTGCCACTAATGTGGTGTTTGGAGGGGAGGGTTGATTAGTACTGGACAGAAAATATTAAAAATGAAAATGAATTTACAATTTTTTTTCATGTAACTATCCAGCTCTGTCCAATGCTTGCACTAAACATGCACAAATCAATCATAGAGCAACGGCTTGCCTTTTGAGTTTGTAATGAGAATGGTCATGAACTGGTTTGTTCTTTTGGCTCATTAGTATATTTGATTCTTGTTGTCTTTTACATACATGAAAGGGAAGTTTATTTGTTAAGGTATTCTGGAGTCTGCATATGAGAGTTTATAATGATGTCAAATTCAGCGTATTATTATTATTATTTTGTAAAAAAAGAATTTGCTAACTAAATTAAATATAAAACTATTGTTTGAAATTTGGAGTAAAGAAGAAAAGAATTGTAATGAAAAGGTGAGGAAAACATATTTGTGTCTTTGGTTGCAATAGGGCTCTCCCCAATGGAGAATACCTTTGTATGTGGTTTCTTTATGGGGAAACTAACGAATGTCTAGCATCACCTATCCAAGTATGTCAAAATTTATTTGGTGAGTCATTTTCCTTTTCTCCTGGTGTTCATCTCGGGCAGGGAAGCCACAGTGTTGTTACTCACCAGGATCCACACCAGGGTGGTTCCCCAGCAAGAGCTGATCCTTCTACTGGTGTTCATCGCTGTCAGGGAAGCCACGGGTTGTTATTCCTCAGAACCAACAGCAGGGCGGTTCTACTGCCTGGGCTTTTCCTTGGTCAATGACAGGTTTTTCAGAGGAGGATCCAGATGAGGCGGCAGAGAGAAACTTGAATCACGTACCTGGAGTTGTGATTCCTGTGGTTAGAGCAGTAGCATCGCTGGGATGCTACATAGAATGGAGGACGCTGTGACTATTGAGACCAACCGATGCTCACCACACATTAATCAATGACGTCTAGTTCCCTTCTTTGGTGTTTTTGAGGGACATGGAGGACTCCTCTTGCTATAGTTTTCATTTTCTGGAGAACAAAAAACTATACAAGACCTAGAATTTTTGAAGTGAAAAGTCAGAGACAATCTTTTATGATCACTGAAAACGACGACATGGTTGGGGTGTTTCTGTTAGAAAAATATTATCTGTATACTAAATACTTTCGTAATAATTTCACTTGAAGCCTTTTTTTCTACCTGTTAAAACTAATATTTTATCTAATTGACCATATTTTTCAGGCGGCCATGATGTGCGGGGACTGGATGCATGTAATATTGGAGGAAGAACTGATGCGCTTGGAGTGCCCCACACTACCGAGTTCAAGCAGGGCTAGCAGCTTGGGGGCACCAACACTAGGACAACCTGATGTTAAATGTATTCTTAAAGAGGCATGGACAGAGGAATTCAAAAGGCGTTTCGCAAGAACAGAGGAGTTGGCAATGAATAAGTGTGGATGTGGGCGTCTGGGGTTCATGCAACTGCAACTGAAATAGGTTGGTCTGCTCAGGGTCATGTGGAGGGACCATTTACCCTGCTAATTTCTGGTTCCAATTGTGATAGTCAGTTTTGGTCCTTGATACATTGAAGGTTTAATATTGTTTTTATTTTCCCTAAGAAAAGAAAGAAGCAGAAAGTGGAAAGATAACACACACAGCTAGGTTTGTGATTAACACGTGACTGGCTTACACCATTCACCCATATATTTGTGCTTGTATGCTAATGGGTGTGTATATACATGCTCAGACACATGGAGATGCGCTATGTGTTATAAATCTTGGGGCGTGGTAGATATTAGGGTAAACACAAGCTCCTGGGGATTATAAGTTTGATTCTAATAGTGATTTGCATAATTTTAACATATCTTGCAATTTGTGTTGAGATTCATTTATTATTATTATTATTATTTTATTTTATTTTTTTATTTTTTTTTTACTTGTGATTGCAAATTTTGACATTATTTCTATCAATATGATGCTATTGAAGTATCCATTTGTTTAACTACTCTGTAAGTAGCCCGTGATTTAATAAATCCGATGAGCTTGCTAGGATAGAAGAAGTGGAGGATTTGTTTTGGTTTTGGATGGTGCACCACGTGTTGGGAGGGATTCTGGCTATGTCTCGAGCAATAGGTGATTTCTTTTTTCTTTTTCCTTACAGTCTCTTTGCATTCACTAGATGCTATTATTTTGGCCATGTTGACACTTTTTAATTCTATGAAAGACGAGCATGTTTTAAACCGTGAATTCGTGATGTTCAACCTATATTTAAATGTTTGTTGGTGAATTTGACAATTATTTATATCTTTGCCAGATCAGATTCAAATATAAATCCTTCTGCAATTTGCTGTATCAGATAGTAATACAAGTCCTTTTGCTGTTTACTAATTGTTTTTTGATCTGTGCGTATGCTTGTCTTATTTCTCGAACTTAACAACTTAAAAGTAAAAAAAAAAAAAAAAAAAAATGTAAGTATTCCAAATGGTTTTTGAAGCGAAAAATTACTAAAATGCTGTAGTCATAAACTCTCATGCTTTTCTCTCTGTTTTTAAGCTGGAGATGGGTATTTAAAACATTTTGTGACACCGGTGCCTGCGGAACAAGAATTTTATATTCTTGCTAGTGATTGCCTGTGGGATGTCATGTCTAACGTGATAATCTGTCATGTCGTTAGAGAGTGAGTAAGAGAAGAAATAAGTGCACAAAATGAAGGGCTTCCCATCCCAATGGGCTTTGGCTGCAGGGCTACTGATTAATCTTGCTTTAGCCCAGGGAAGCGCCGACAGTAATACTATCGTAGTTGTTGATTTGAAGACGACAGTGACAGCATGAGAGTTTGGAGATTACCGATAAGAAATTAGGTTTTGTTAACTTCGTAGAGCAAGTAGTCTAAAGACTTGAGATGAACGGTTCAAGAATCTATTATCTATTTTAAATGAAAACATATTTGCCTGGTTACTTTGTGGATAATATTTTAATTTCTGATTCTTTCAATTAATTTTGATTTGAGTTGTCTTCCTGATTGATGAACCTGTTTAGGGATCATGAATGTAGGAAGAAAAATGAAATTCTCTACTATTTTTGATCTACATCATAACCTCAAAGTAGGAAAGCATATATTTCTGCCACTCATTTGATGTTTGGTGAGAAGGATGAAACGGTACTGGATGAACAATTTTAAGAAGGAAAAGGATGTTTCAATTTTGTTCATTATACACTCTAGTTCTGTCTAATGCTCTACAAGAAACATGCACTAACTCGGCGCAAATCAATCAAAGAGCAATTATTCATCTTTTGAGTTTGTAATGAAAATTGTTATGAACACTTCATGTAGAAATTGCATTGGGCAGGAATCTGCACAAGTTTTTGTATCATTTCTTTCTACTGAATATGCCACCTTTGCATCTGTAGTCATCTTCCTTTAGGGTATAGAAAATTAGAAATTCAAAATTATGCTAGATTTAGTTCTTGTGCGATGACATCTCATGGTTAATTTTATACAGAATTTAGTCTTATGGCATGTTTGGCTTGCTCGATATAGTACTTACATTATTTTGGAACAATCTTCTCCATTTCATTTTCAATGCTTGGACTGCTGTTTATGACATACAATCTTAGAGACGATGGGTTCTCAAATACTGTCTAGACTAAGTTTCAACTTGGTTCCAACTATACCTATGAATTCAACCTGTCCCAAAGATTTTCATCTACGCAATAGAACTCAATTCAATTCTATGACTCCCTCCCAACGGAGTGGAGAGATATTTCTGTCATTTTCAGGTGAAATCTAATGTTCACATGGCAGATTGCAAAGCCTTGTCGTAGAAAGCCTTTTCTACGACACTTGTTTGGTCCACAAAACAAATTCATGTTGGCCAAGTCCGGGGCACGGTGGTCTCACTAATCAATAGATTGGATGATATTTCTTGCCAAATAAATGAGCTTCGTCGGGATAACTACGAAATTTGAATCAATGTGCATGTTCGAAATGCACTGACCCTAATAAACAGAAGTTGCTGGAAGAAGAGAGGGAAGCAGAGAAGACGATGTGAAAATATGGGCTTGTTTGAGCCACATTATTTTTAAAGAAATACATTTTTCAATAGTAATTTGACATCATTTCAATTATAGATTGTTCAATAAAATAATAATATATGTAATTCTAAAATTTTTCCTTATTTTTTAACCACACATTTCTCATTGATTTGACATGAATAGTGCAATTTTTTTCCTTAGAATGTGGCTCAAACATGGGCTATAATATCTTAAAAATCACCATTGTAAATGCCTTACCATTATGTAAATGTTATTTAACAACGTTATCATAAGAGACCATCGACACCTTCATTTAATCAAAATCGACTATATCGTATCATCTTGCTAAACAAAACAAAGGGAAAATGCAAGGAGGCAGGGTAGAGTCGACGTAGGAAGAGAGTATAGGAGCAAGGATTGGGGGGAAAGGTGGTGGGTTAAAGTTTTCGATCCGATTCTCAATTCTAATATCAAGAATAGAAAATTTGGATTCAGCTCGATTTTTTATTTTTATTTTTTTTAGGTGTCTTGTGTTGTGGGCAAACATTTAATATTTATCTTGTGAATTTCACTATGGGACATCAAGTCATATTCAATTGTTTATAAATTTACAAAAATAGATCATTTAAATTTCATAAATATGATTTTGGATTAATAAGAGGCTCGGGTTATTTTCATCCTTTTCAAGTTAGCATTTTCAGCTCCTCAGAGTACCCCAAACAACAAAAAAACAAAAAACAAAAGTAAAAAGTAAAAAAGAAAAAGGAAAAAAAGGAATATGATTGAGACTTGCTTTCCAGGAACCTTTAAAAAATCAATAGTTTAACCTGATGTTAATTATAATAATAAAACTTGAAAAGCACAAATCATTAGCTACAATATATAATATTTTATTGAAGAGATTAATGATAATTTGGATGATTATACAATTATAGCTTGTAATTTTATAGTTAGACTCGTCATTTACATCAGTTGTGAATTTAAAAACTTTACTTGACGGAGGAATCTATATTGATTGAATATGAACTACAATCAAACGATTTAGTTCGATATTGTCATTGGAGATGGAATCAATAATTCCTTTTTTAAAATTATATAAAAATATTATTTGAGGTTCAATTCGTTTTAAAATTAGATCGAGGAGCACCAACCCTTAAATCAAGTAATTTTTTGTAGGAAATCTACTAAGTACTTTAGTGTACAAATGGAATTACTCTTTTTGCAAAACTTGTTGCAATAAATAATAGTTTAGTAATTGAATTTGAAAAAAAATACTTATTTTCACAAGGATGTCAGATTTATGTTAAAATATATTTTTATAATTTAAAATAAATATGTAAATTATCGAAATATTTTAAAACTAACTTTTTTGCATTTAATTGAAACTAACTTAACTAAAAATAATTTGAACTTCAAATAATTTTCAAGATTTGTCTTTTTATGGAAATGTAATTGAAACTTACAAAGTAAAAGCCACGAGGGTGAGGAAAAAAGAAAAGGAAAGCTGTAACAAAGGATCCCCTTTCTGTCCTATTTGGTTAGATCATTTGATTCAGCATCAGATCAGGACCTTAATTACATGGACTTCTGAAATGTCAACTCTCATCGCGATCAGAGACGCCGACCTGAACGGCAAAGATGGAGACTACTCTCCGGCGAAGGAGAAAGCTTCTAATAGAGGCGTATACAACGGCAGATTGCCGCTCCTCCACCTCCGCTTGCGGCTGTTGTTTGGCAGCGCAAAGTACAAGCTACTTCTCTTATTATGTCTGTTTAGTGTCCTCTATATGCTCAGTTCCTTTATGGGCTGGAAGCCGCAGTATTCTTCTTCCGTTTCTTCTACTTCGAGGTATCTGCATCATCTTCTTATGTGTCTTTCCTTGATCTGAGTGAAAATGATTAATCTTGGAATTTGTAAATGCTACAAGTTTTTCAAAATTTGGGGAAATGTTTTCTTTACTCAACTATAACCTTTCTCAGACCCCAGTATCCGTTTGCTAATATTCCTTGAGGATTGAATAGCAGTCCTTTTGAATTTTTCAGATTTGTGAGATAGAGTAACAACGTAAGAAAAAGCTTCACTGTAGCGTAATTGACTGTGCTAATTTTTATTTTTAATTTTTTAATTTTTTTTATTTTAGCAACTGTACTGGGTGTTTTGTAAACATATAGGCTTCATTGTCATTGTTTTGTTTCTATTAACATGTTTACAAGTTAGATTTCATGGTCATGGTTAAATACTCTACGCTACCTTATTTATATTGACTCCAGTTCCGAAAATTCTGTTTCCGTGAGCAACCTTGATGTTTAGTCAACTTTTATATGTACAGGGGAGGATACACAGTGCTCATCAACACGTGGAAGAGGAATACTCTACTTAAGCAGTCTGTTGCTCATTATGCATCCTGCCATGGAACTGATGCAATACATGTAGTCTGGAGCGAAAGTGATCCTCCTTCAGATAAGCTAAAAGATTATCTTAAGAATGTAGTATTGAAGAAGTCGCAAACGGCTCACAAACCCAACTTCAGATTTGACCTAAACGAGGAAGATAACCTAAACAATAGATTTAAGCCGATTGAGGATCTCAGAACTGATGCAATTTTCTCAGTGGATGATGATGTAATTGTCCCGTGCCCTACACTGGATTTTGCATTCACTGTATGGCAAACTGCTCCACTCACAATGGTGGGATTTGTCCCTCGCATGCATTGGCTGAAAGAGGAGGTAAGCAGTTTCCGCTATACCAGAATATTTTCATACAAATTTTCAAAGTTGCCGTTGTTGTAAAGTACTTGCATTTAAATGTTCACTGGTTACTACCTAATTCTTTTAGAAAATGCCTACCATATTGTTCAAGAAGCAGCTATGCAACATTTCTTCTTCATTTACCTTTTATATATGCTGTTGTAACGAATGGCATATGCTAAATGGTATACATAATATTTTTTGGAACAAGTCACTTCCGTTATTTCTGCATTGACTTTCCAGATCCACCAGGACTAGCAAGTCATAAAATTTATGTCTTCTCAAATGAACAATATCCTCTTACGTGCTTCTATTCAACTGTTAAAGGGCTTGACATTGGACTGTAAAAAGCAGTTGTGGAAGGCCCAGCCAAAAAGGTCTTTCCACAAGACTCTCAAGAAGCTAGAGCTATGTTGCTTCGGCACTTCATTTAACAAACTTATGCCATTCTGATAGGTCATAACTCGACATGATTCCTGATTTTGAAGGGGGACATGACTCTCCAACACATGAAATAAGTTCTAAAACCTGAATCATAACTAAAATGTTTACTTGCAAAGAAACATGATGTATCATTTTCTATACCATTCTTCCAGTTACGATATATGAATGGTAAGTCGAAGTACGCATATCCACAGTCTAGACTCCTATTTTGACTGCATCCGCTGGGTCTGAAATTTGACAATCATGTGATCAGAAATCTAGACATGCACTTGTACCTGACTCCCACTGCTTTGAGTTGTTCTTCTCTAGGTCTTAACTGCCACGTTACTTATATTTGAAAAGCGCTTGTCTGTCTGTTATTCTAGTTTGTGCACTAGGCCTGTTATTATTATTTTATTTCACCACTATGTCAAGAAATAGATGAGCAATTCTAGTTCACTTTTATCATTTTTTCAACTGGAAGAATCCTTCTAAATCAGCACTAAGTCTTCTCAAGGAACATATGCATATATATAATAACCACATCAACACTCACTCCTTCCATATGTATGAGAAAGTAATTGCTTTCCGCACCTCTCCTTCATCTTTCTGTTGGTTATGCAGAATTCACATTGCTGATTAAAGTATTGTCTAGTTCAGGTTGCAACTCATAACTTCATCTAGAGTAAATGTTAGGACTGCCATTTATAACACTTTTTCAGCCTTTCCTATCCATTGAATTTTTTCTGGGCAAGGTTGTGCTATCTCCTTGTTCAGCCCTACAAAGTAATAAAAAACACGAGAAACTATTCTACTTTCAGTAGATTTTATTCAACAATTGACCATGAGTTTAGTTTGGAGCTGTTAGGAGCCTGCGTTACTGTTTATTTTATTTGCCTAAGTCTCTTTGGCATGATTTTTTCAAGTTCCCTGGTATAACAAATTCTACTGATTTAGTATGCCTAAGAAGTAAGAAGTATGATTTTATATATATACCCAATGATGAATCTATGCGCCCCTCTTGGAAATTACCTGTCTTTGCTTTTCTTTGATTTTGTTTGATGTAATTAATTCTCAATAACCTGTAGAAAAATGGCATGGTACATTATCAATATGGAGGATGGTGGTCAGTTTGGTGGACGGGCACATATAGTATGGTTCTCTCAAAAGCTGCATTCTTTCATAAGAAGTACTTGGATATATACACTCACAGTATGCCGGCATCATTACATGATTATGTAAGCAGGGAAAGGTATGGTCAAATTGAATGTTGTTTTATTTTGTCCATATTCTAAGATTTTTAATTCAGTTTATAGCTGCTCGTCCAACTTTCATCTGTGAACTCTGATGTCTGGCAGAAATTGTGAAGACATTGCTATGTCTCTTCTTGTTGCTAATGCCACTGAAGCTCCTCCAATATGGGTTAAAGGTATTATTTGCTTCTTCTAGAGATCATGAAAATGTTCATGAGTGCATTTTTCCGTACAATGTTAAAAATCAAGCATTTTAACTTTAATGTTCCAAACTAAATTTGGCATTCTCCTTTTACTCCTATTTTTTTTTCCAGCAAGGTCTATCCACATGACAATAGCATTCCCGATAAAATCGCGCTTAGTTAGGTTCAATCTCGTTGAGTGCCAGTTGATGTAAATAGCTTAAACCTAACATTTAGGTGGGATTCCTTTTTCCCATCAAAAGCTTCAAACTTCCACAATTCATTTAAATGTTGGTGCAGAGACTTGGACCCATGACCTTTGCATGATCTAATACTATGTTGAACCAATTGATCTAGAAACTTGAGCTGTTAGATAAAGCTGCATGTATATCTTTTAAATATTGTTCAACAACTGTCAACATAACTTCGAATTGATTAAATTAATTATGAAGCATAAAAGCATGTGAGAGAGTTGTTTATGATTGTTTTAAATTATATCGATAGAAATGAGTGCTGGATAAATAGATGGTGTTGTTTGACTGAATATAAACTTATCATAAACAAGAGGAAAACAAGTGCTAAATTTCATTTTCCTTCTTGAAACTGTATTATATGATATGATGTTTTGAAATCATTTTTCAGGAATCCATAAATATTTTTTCAAATTTTCTATTGTGCACTTTCTTTTTAAATATTCCAACCACACTTCAAAAGAAATATTTAACTTTAATACTGAATCCTCTTTAGATTAAATTATTATTTGGCTACAGAAGTACCACGCTCCCACTTGATTTGGAGGTGTCCATTATTATTTGGATGGTAAAGCCTTTCACGATCATGTCCGATCAAGATATCCAAGAAATGAAGTGCCCGTACGTAATAATCAAGTTAGAAACATCCATACCTAATCCAGAATGTAGCCATCCATCCCTAATTGCTAGCCTCTTACTTTTATGATTTTACTTGGTCGGTTTTTTCATGGCTGTGATGTTTTAATGATAAATTTCTCTCTATTTTCCTCAAACACTGTTCCTTAACTTTCAGGGAAGATCTATGAGATTGGGTCATCAGGGATAAGCAGTTTGAACGGGCATAGTGAAACTAGAAATAAATGTCTCAATGATTTTATTGCCCTCTATGGGACCATGCCTCTGGTGCCAACCAACGTAAAAGCTGGAGATGCAAGACAAGAATGGTTCTGGTGATTTTATTGCCACTTTGTTATTCCCTAAATAGTGTTACACGTCAATGCTGCTGGTTGCTAACGTATTGGTTGGCACTTGCATCCTTTCCCCTTACCACTGTTTGTTGTTAGCTGTATTCAGTGTGTGTACTTAGACTGATTTATAGTGGACTTGGAACACTTTCATATTTTAGCGTAGCGTGCCAATACTTTGCGTATGAAATCTTCTGATTCAAAATAGATTGGTTTCCAGTAGGACGAGTCAGCATAATGAGATATTACAATCGATTGTCACAACACGGGATGTCATGAAAGATATGGTTAAAGGGAATTTGTGTTTTTATATTTCTGGGATTGTAAAGGCAGTGTTAATGGCTGGAGGACCAAGTTCAAGAATTGATAGGGACGTTTGGTAGGGTTTTTGAAAAGTTAAAGTTTGCTTTTAAGACTAAAAAGCTACCTCTGAACATGTTTGAAAGTATTTTGTGTGATTAGACGTGCATTATGACAATTTATGTAAATTGTCGAAATAAAATTTTTATTAAACATAGACGACGTTTGAGGTGAATGATTATTATAAATATCATATTTAGGTAAAGTCTTGAAGAATTTTAGGTGAAAATTCCACTATATATTTCTCCTCTTCAATAGAAAATATAGTGTGCTTTGAAAAGAAAAATAATATATTACTTGTATATAATTTAATAAATCACGCAAAGCGACGCCTTATGCGTGACAGAAGATTTCCTGAAATGCTTTATGTTCAAGAAGATTCCGGTCAAAATCTTAACTCCTCTCTATATTACTAGTTTAAGTTCCGTGCAATGCACGGATTGTATTATTTGAAGGGTGATATTAGTGTTTTGAATGTTAATAATTGTATGAAGTAAATTATGTTCAAAGCGGGAGGAGTAATGAACAAGTTTTTAATTAGGATATTGTTGAACAAAGATATGTTTTTATATTAGTAAAAATTGGGATCTTCTTGGTTGTTTCTGTTATCCTTTTGAAAGTGTATGTTGTAGTTGGATGGAAATGGAGATCTAGAAGTAAAGCACAAATTGAGAAAAAGCAAGAGGCGTCATTTAACACTTATATACTACATCTAATATTTTTTGAAAATAATAATTGGTACAGTGTTGAAAGTTAAATATTTACATGTCAATTGTTAGAACGAAGGGGTAAATAAGCTAAAGGTTTACTAAAGAATATTGTATATATTTTACTTTTTTTAATGCTATACATTGAGAAAAAGAATCTGATACAGATAGCTCAATTTATTTTTTGACAGAATATATATGATGAGAAGATTGCACTATCTCTAATTTGGTTTAGTCGTCTAGTGATATATTAGATTTCTCATCTTTTTTTTTTAATTTTTGTTCTCATCTACAAATGAAATAGAGTTAGCAAAAAAAAAAAAAAAACACTTCTTGAGTGTGAAACAATTGTCATTTATACCTGTTCCTCTGAACTTATTCTCATGGTATCAATTGCCTTCTTTGTTTCTATATACTCTCTGAATTCATCAAGTTCGTCTAACTCGTAGCAATTTGATTGATTAAATAACTGAACTTTTTGGATTGTCCAACTTAATTTTTTGATATCCTGAAGGTTAAAAAAGAGAGAGAGAGAGAGAGAGAGAGAGATTAATCTGGAATTAACTTGGAAAGATAAGAGAGCACATAAATAAATATTTTTTTAAACAAATTAGCATGAAATTAAAAAAAAATGTGATGACTTATGTGAAGAATGTGTTGGCCTAACATTTACAGGCGAACTCTATTGAATCCCTTGGAGCAGTGTAATCCTAGTTTCCCCTTTTGATTAATAAGAAGATATTCCTCCAATGATAGGTCACAATTCTAGGAAGAAAGCGAGCAGATTTTTAAATTCTGTTTTGCCACTTATATCAGAACTAAAGGAGACAACCATCAGCTGATGCAACAAGAAATAAAGAATAAGTTCAGTGGCAATAGCCCTTTCATCAGCCAAGTATTCTACACTGACGAAAAGAATGTGATTGCACATTCATCATATTCATCAGATTCAAGACCTAATCACTTCAGTAATAAATAGCTCCAGGAATCAACCAATTATATGATCACCACTGCCTAGAGAAGCAGGATTGACAGAATTCAATTATATGGACAAGCGATATCTAGAAGAGAGTAGGACAAGAATGGCTCAAAGCCTCAAACAACATTTGTTCAATATGGACTTTGATTTAAATTTTTAAAAGCTTGCAATTAATATATAATTTGCTCTGTACTTACCACCAATTCACAATAAGCATAACAATATTGAGGATACCTCCCAAGAATTTCCACCAGAGATGTTTGAATTGCATCTAAGAAGAGAAATATCATTCCCCTTACACAAATATTAGGCTGTACGAAGAGTGATAAAAAATTACTTCTATTAACTTAATCAATAAATGATTGAGAATAAGACATGGAAAATAATTTCTACCTTTTTCTTAACTATCATCACAAATATAGGAAGAATACCCATCCGTGGCTATGCCTATAATCTGATGATGAACATGTTCTCCAATATTTTTCATCAACATCTCAAGAAGCTGTGAATCCGACAAAAAACAAAGTCTTATCAATGCTTCAAAGCAAGTGGTCAGGGGGACATATATAATCCACCGCAACTAAAAGAGATTCATCAAAACAAGCAAAAAAATTATATACCCTATAAGTACTTACCAGTACTGTAAACAATTGTGTGTTTGAATCTTTGCTTCCCAGGTATTCTGTATAACTTTTACAACATCTTTAACTTGTCTGTATTACAAAAATATATAAAATAGTGGTGAAGTGGGTAGTAACATTCAAAAACACAGTTAATGTTAAATTAAACAACACTAACCTTGTTTTAAGAATTAAACTTCATTAGTAAGATAAAAGTAACCTCAGCACCATTTTACAGACTTAAACAACAAAAGCATTTACTCCTTCAAATTCAAAATCACTATAATAGATATTGAAATTGAACATTTAGAGTACAAAATTAATAAATGAAGATACATCAACTCCTGTTAAAGTATACGTGGATCACCAGCTTACTGAATTCCTTTAGCTTTTGGTACCAGATGTATCTAGCTAATAGAATAATAGTTAGGTGGGGCTGAATCTTCAAGTTTGATATTGACTATGTTCGAAGGAACCAACATTGAGGCTTTTTCCTCATTTCATTTCCCATTTCGTAAAACCTGAAGTTGGAACAGATTTAATGTCTCATATTTGCCACCGAAGAACCTACATTTATTCCAATGTATAGAAATATTTAAAATAAGTAATTTTAAAGTTATGAATATAAGATTATAAATTGAATTTTGATAAAGGAATCTTACTGAATTTTCATAATTTGTTATGGTTAGGATAAACACGGACGTAAAAAATATTTATTGTGACAGATATCTGTGACAATCTTTCGTCTATATAAACGTATCTTCTATGGTGAAACTGCTTCTAATGGATATCCGAAAACAAAGCATTCAATGTATTTGAGAAGTATAACTCCTGAATTTGGCCTATAGAAAAAATAATTTGACAATAAAATTAAATAGAAAATTAAATATTATAGTAAATTGTTGAGATGCTTACCCATTATTTTGACAAGGTAGATACGGTATGATTTCCAATTTCATATGTTTATTTCTATGTTTTCTTAAACTTGATTTGCCGAAAAAAAGTCTGTAGATATCAATAATGATTGTACTACAGTCAAAACAGGTTCTGCACGTAATTTAATTGCATCCGATGTATGAATGTTGTGGCTGCAATCATATACATGAAATTTCCACTTTTGAAAGTCGACAAGAAAAAGAAATCAAATGTTGCTTGGATATGCGGATGGAATCAATAAATAGTTGTATGTTATTCACGGACGAGCAAATACAGGTAATTCTCCTTTCATGTACTATTGTAATGCATTGAAATTACTTGTAGAATGGGCAGCTCCTCCTTTTATAATTTTATACCAATGAACACATTCATTCTCGAATCTAAGGTTCATGATTGCATATTCTTTAGAAAGCGGGGAAGATCCATCGTGAATAAGTATTCTCAACAGCTTTAATTCTATATCAATATACTAGTAAAAAAAATGTAAATTAGATATATTAATAATGGAGTATAATTAATTATGATTACTAAAGTTGACTTACCACAATATTTATATCTTTCGTTTGATTTATTATATTTATCAACGATTGTCTTCCGTATAGATTGCCGATTTCATCTTTCCAGTATGCGCTGTATAAAAAAAATTAAATTGTTGTCAAATAAGTAAAATACAAATTAGAATATTTAAGTTAACGAGGTTAAATTAAATATCTTACTCTGATAAATTTTGTGATATCCATTCTCTAATGTTTTTGTACATGTTGATGTTATAGTCTTCTAAAATATTAGTCGGCGTTGTCGATGGAGATTGTGTCTGTTTCTGCTTGCCTTTTTTTTATTTCGTCGATCTTTCAACGTTTTCTGTATGTTCAAATGTTGAAGGGATTCCGAATTCAACTGGCTTTGTATGAGGAGGCACATCTCGTTGTACAGAGGCTACAATTGTTTCCATGTGTGATTTTCAGTCGATAACTGATTCTGCATATTTCGATTTTGTTCATCAATGTAAGACTTCGTTAAATCGAAACTGGTATCCACATAAGATTGAATGTTAGATTGTATGCCCTGGAAGTAGTCTTGTTGGTCTTTTTGCTGATGTTCAAAAAATTGTTTCTGATTGTCAAGAATTGTCTAACAGAGAGCTTCTTGCTTTGTTGATTCTTAAATCATCTGTGTTTTTAAGCTGTCGTAGAAACCAAAGACATCTTGTTTGTGTATATTGAACATCTGTTCCATATATTGTTTAATTACATAGTTTGAGCTACCAGAATAAGTAGATTCAATTCCATCTGAAGAGTGGATAGTTCTTTCTTGTGTATGTATGTTATCCGCTGGAATTTTTATGTTACATTGTCCAATTCACTATTGACAATGTTGTCTAGTGTACGATGTTGGTTGTCAATTGGTAGTGAAAGATTTGTATACCAAAATGTTTCCAATTCTGCTTCAGTAGGATTTAGCGTTGCAATTACTGTAATCTATAATTGTAATAAAATATCATATGTATTTTTTAAAATTTATTTATAAAGAATTAAATATATATTTAATTGTATATTGAAATAAACATACCTCTTGAGCAGCCAAAAATTGTCTAATAACATGTTCCGTTAATACTATTTGAGGCTGTCATTTATGTATTCGTGGACATTTTAAGCTTGTACGGATACGATGGCCGAATTGTTGTCCAATTTGAGGAAAAGTTTCATATATCCAATGCTGAAATATAAGTAAAAAGAAATATTAAAGTTTTTATATGATTAAATTATATGTAATGGTGAAAAAATGAAAGAAAAATACCTGGAATGCAAGGGGATAACCATGCAACGAATATTTACAGTCTATTTGGTCATTTTGTTGTATTCTTCGTACTCTTTCAAACTGTGATTCTTGTAATGAATTTAATAAAACAAAGTATGTCTTACGTCCCCATAGATACATAAGGAACTCATCAAGTTGTTCAAGTATTCCAAGAGTTCTGAAATCGATGTGTCTTCCAGTTGGTTTTAAAACGCATTCGACGAACATAACTAATCCCAACTTAAATTTATCTTCTCGATCTCGACACATATAAAATACTTCAGAAAGTCTTATCATAGTAATTCTCCTTGAACCATTGAAGTATTCATCCCTAAGTCGAGTATTACTAAAATTGAGATTAACAATAACTTCATGGCATGGTAATCCAGTGATTAGACAAAATTCTTGCAGGCCAAAACGGGCTACATGATCGTGTAATTGTACCCAAACTTCGTTATTTTTACCGCAGTTTATAAGTCTCATTATGAACTCATGTATTAATTTGCTGCTAAATTTTTCATTTTTCTTTTTATACATACTTCTGCAAATGAATCCATGGAATGGACTGCACAATAAATAAGCTTGATCGTCTGCATCTATAAGTTCTACAAAATCTTTAAAATATTGATGATTTGCAAATTGAGTAATCATAGCAAAAAATCATTGATTTAGAGATAATATGTATTCTAACGACATCTCCAAAAATTATTAAAAAAACTATTCATTAGTCAACAAATTTATTCATATACTAATCTAACATAATTTTTTAGAAGCTACATACTACAACTTTATTAAAAATAAATTTAAGATTATATCTATACTACTTGAAGCATTGTTTTTTGTCATTGATCTGAAATTGTATATGTATTGTGATAGAAAGGATAGCTAGTTACAATTTTATGAAACTTTATCACATTTTCATATTTGAAACTTAATAGTACAATATATAGATGGAAACAATATAATTTGCACTATGATTAATATACAGTTTAAATAAATAAAATTTGTGAACTTTAATAATTACGCAATATATTTGAAGAAAATGTTATACAAGAATTTATGAAATTGGAATAAGTCAATAATGATGAGTAATGATAGTTATCAACCATAGACATGTATAAAATATAGAAAAACGAGAAGTTTGATTGATTTCATTATTTTCATTTTTAAACAAAATTGTCATTAATTAATATGTATCATCTTAATAAATTAAAATGAAGATATGTATGCTTGTCAAAAGCTTTCTAATAATTGTGTTAATTATGCAAATAAAAACAATGGTATAATGTAATTGAGGATTATGTTAAGTAAAAAAATTAGTTAGTTAAACAAGAAGATTTTCTAGTATTAATAGACAAATGAAATTTTCCACGTTAGGTGTGTTAGTTGATCTCAGAAAATACATCATATTAATTCTGTTGAATTTTTATTTTTTTGAAGTGATAGATTGGAAAAACCTAAATTTTATATCCAAAAGGGATTAAAATAATTTTTTTAAAAGGAATGTTAAATTTTGTTTAAATCTCATTTACTCAGATCATCAGTGTATCTGAGATCCTATTTAGAATATAGTTGGAGAGTATTTTTTAAATGCGAAGATCAGTTTTATCGCGGAGTGCTACACTTCTACGTCTTCTTAAGGTAAAAAAAAAAAAGGAAATTAATATGGGCATGTTGTACTGTAAAACATGATTTTAGTGTGCTACCTTAAACTATCATAGGAGAACTCGACACTACAGACTTAAGCTTGAATTGCAAAAAATTTGAATATCATTTGTATAACTTTTTAACATAATAGTATTCATAAATAGATTTTAAATTTATTTTATTACATGAAGGTTACCTTTTTGCTGTAGTCGATCACGCATGAAGCTTGATTAGGCAGAAAGCTTGTAAAATGCGTGTCAAAAAGAAAATGGATAAAGGTCAGTAGTAGTTCGAATATTTATGTAAATGGACGAAGGATAGATGTTGGTGAGTAAATGTTGGTAGTTGAAATGTGAGGTGAGTAAATGTTGGTAGTTCAAATGTGGGAGGAGTAAATGTTAGTAGTTGGAATGTGTAAATGCAAATTGAATTTGAATATAGTTTATTTCCATTCATTTAATTAAGTATTTATGCATTGGAACGAAGTATTTTTAATGTATTCAAAATTGTATATATTTAGTCATTGCATAAAATATTACTAATTGGTAAATAAAATTTATAAAGATAGAAAGAATTTGTAAAATTGAATAAATTGTTATACAAAGTAATAGAGTACGTATTTAATGGTTGAAATTTTATTTTGTTTTCTATTTAATGTTTTATAAATTCAGTCATTGAGTGAAGAAGTATTTATGTAGTCGAAACTGCAAAATGTAATTTTACAAAAATATAAAGATGGTTCGCACAAGATGACAGATTACACATTGAAACTTCCTAACTTTCTAAAGTAACAAAATATTCTTAGTTGACATATTTTTGCTTGGAAATTTATTATTCAGTATTGCACTCCAAAAGCAGTCAACTAATTCAAAAGTACAAAACTAATTCACTGATTTTAAAGTTTGCGAAGTTGGCTTATCATTTGTTTCATAGCTTTTGCGATGCATTTTTTTGTTAGTGAAGTTTCAATTGGAAAAGATTTGAGGGGCATTCTATAAAAATCATTTTTGGTGTTGCATAATTTCTTCAATGTAATATATTGGCTAAAGTACATATTTTTTATATGATAGATCAGACATTTTTGTAAAGATTACCTTTTTCAGCTATTGATTATGCGGCTGCTACGGTGGCGAACTTCAATTTTGGACGCTTAACAAATCTAGAAATGAAATGCTTGTGAAAAACACAATACTTAAATGGTTGAACGTGGGTAGATAGTTTTTATATATTGTTTTAAACGTTAGGGATAGACGTGAGTATATAGATATTTGGTAAGTAAATGTTGGTATTTGCAGTATTTAAGTGGTTGTATGTGGTAGTTGCCAAAAAAAGAATAATTAAATAATTGAATGAGTAAATGTGGTAGATAGCGTTTTTAATGTTCGTAGGTGAACATTAGTGAATAAATATTGATGAGTAAATGTTAGTAATTGAAATGTGTATGGTTGTATGTGATTAATAGAAAAAAATAATAATAATTATTGGTTGAATGTGGTAGATAAATTTTATATATTGCTTTGAACGTAGATACATATTTTGATATACTTTTGAATGTTGATAGATAGACGTTTGTAGATAAATGTTGGTCTATAGGCGTTAGAGACAAATGTAATGTAAATGTAAATTTAATTTTAATACAGTTCATTTTAATTAATTTAAATTATATTGTATTTATGCGTTGCAATTACGTGGTCTTAATGTATTTAATGTGTTTGCCAAAAAGAGAATAGTTAAATGGTTAAATGTGGGTAGATAGTTTTTATACTTTATAGATGTTGGTGAGTAAATGTTGGTAGTTGGAACGTGTAAATGCAAATTTAATTTTAATATAGTTTTATTTCAATTTGATATAATTAATATTGTACTTGGAATTAAGTGTTCTTAATATATTTAATGTTGTAAAAATTTAATCAATTTTTTTTATGTATTGTTGTCTGAAGCACTTCGGGTAGCACCGAGTGTTTCGAACGTGTAAATGCAAATTTAATTTTAATATAGTTTTTTTGAATTTATATAATTAATATTGTACTAAGAATTAAGGGTTCTTAATGTATTTAATGTTGTAAAAATTTAATTAATTTTTTTTTTTAATGATTGTTGTTTGAGACACTTCGGGCAGTGCGGAGTGTCCCTGGAAAGCACTCCCGCAGCGCGGAGTTGCTATATATTTGATTATTTTTTAATGTTAAACGAAAGAACACGTCTAAATAAAATTATAGTTAACATGTCTAGGTTTTAACTCGAATTTTTTACTGTCACACGAAAAATGTAATATATGTAAATGTAAATTTAATTTAAACATAATTTATTTTAATTAGTTTAGTTAATATTATACTTATGCATTAGAATTAAGTATTCTTAACGTATTTATAATGTTGTATAAATTTAGTTATCGAATAAAAAAATCTTAAGGAAAATTTATAAAATATCTGTGTAATTTTTAAACACGAACTGCAAAATTGAATAAATTGTTGAAGTGTTGTTTGACAAAAATGCAAAAATATTATAGATTAGCAAAATGTGGTCGATTACGATTTAATAGTTGAATATTTGTTGGTTATTTAATGTTTCATAAATTTAGTGATTGAATAAAAAATTGATAAACAAAACTGATAAGCATCTGTGTGGTCTTCAAATACAAAGAAGTTGCAAAATTTAATAAGTTGTTGAAGTGATTTTAACAAAATAAAAATACAAAGATTGTTATATATTAACACAAGATGGTAAATTACAATATTTACACTGAACAAAAAGAGTGCAAGCAACTTACTTCATTTCAAAAGAGCAAACTATTTTTAGTTGACAGTAATTTTTTGTTGGGAACCTATTATTTAGTATTGCACTTCAAAAGCAGATGACATTACTTTTGTTTACACTATTACTGTCAACCGATACAAAAGTACAAAAGTAATACAGTGATTTTCAAGTTTCTAGAGTTGATTCGTCGTTCATTTTATAGGTTTTGTGAAGATGCTTCTTTTTCGCTTCTGAAGCTGGTTGAATAACTTCGTCTGCTATTTGAAAAAGAGACATTTTTACATTTGTTGTAGTTGGGGAGATTTCAGCAATACATGTCTACTCTTTGCCTTTTGTGTTTTTTTTTTTGTCTAAACTTTCCTGCAGTTCAGCCGGATTGCTTTCATCTGCTGTGATAGTTGAAACATTTGTTTCATTTGTTGTAGCAAAATGATTGTTCGCAGTCATTGTTGTTAAAGAGTTCAATGCAAAGTGATTTCAAAGTGGTATTCTGGAGAGTTTTAGTGTTTCTATGTGACTTTCAGATAAAATTGTGCTTCATTTTGACTTTCCATTTTCATTATACTGTCCATTTCTGCATGTGGTTCCTATAATAGAATTAATCTTTTAGAATACTAAATGTTAAAGTACTGAAGCAAATAATTTGAAACAATGCTAGAATTTTAATTTTACCCTTTCGAAATGGTTCATTATATTATTGTCAGTAGTTTCTAGTAATGTTTCTGCCGCATCCCCAATAATACTTGCATCCAACCATCCAGATTTGTCTTCGAGGTGAACGAAAACATTTACTCTGCAAACGAATTTTTTGTAAATCACAACATCTATTATGTAGCTTTTCAATAAAGCATTAACATTATGTAAAAATTTAATATCTTTAATATTATAAACTACCTTGGAATAGTTTTTGCATGTTCGCATTTGCAAAATCAACTTTTATAAACTTCTCCGAAGTCTACATTAGATGTTTTCTTGCAGTTGTTGCAGGTCATATACCAAAATTTTTTTATTTTTGGGAATGATTTTCCAGTGTTCTTTAACCCAGTAAATTTTTTTCTACAAAAAAAAAAAGGAAATAATTTTATAATTAGATTAAAATAGTAAGAGGAGACAATGGCGTTTGGTAATGTTTTAATACAGAATATGAAAAAAATATGTATTTATGTTACTCATATGCTGAATGAAATTAAAATACCATGAGATAGAGTCCAAGTAAATCTTCAATTAGTGTGAATTTGTCGTCAATTGGAGGTGATAACTTCGGCCGGTTTACAACAACAAATGACTTATTTTCAAGGCTATCAAGCTTTTCTTTGTTAGCCTTCGTCCTATAGGAAATAAATATAAAAATAGTCATAAAAATAATTGCTTCATTAATTTTTTTATTCATTAAAGAAAAGATAGTTATTATTTTGAGTATCAATTTCTATAGTCTACGACAGCTAATAGATTAGAATTGATAAAAAAAGGTGCTATTGACTTTTGGTTAAAAGGGTAATGCCTGCAAAACGAACAAAATAATAATTTTACGTATAATTGTAATTATGTAAACGTTATAAATCAATACATACATACCATTGAATGAAGACACCTTCAGATTAGTAGCTCATATAACAGGTCTTTTCAAAAAAATTTCCAGAATTGTAATACATTCTCGTTCAATAAAACTATCCCATAAGGTTAACATCACTGTCTGGCACTGTTTGTTTATCAATATAACATCCTGGAGAGTATCTTGTATACCAAAATGAGTTTGGATAATTCGTTTATGTCTAATGTCCACAGCTACACCTATAACATCTAAAAAAAAAATTATTTTATGTATGTCGTATATATTTAGTTTTAACAGAGTCATAAGAAAAATGTAGAAGGTTGTAGAATTCGTGATAATTAATCCATGCAGTACAAATCTTACTAATGTTGATATTTGTATCATGTGTTGTTCTAATTCATCAAATGGAGTAAGTTGATACTGTGAGAAGATAAATTCAAGTTATTCTCGTGTAATTCTTCAATTTTTGTTCTTCCAGTGATCGTTCAAATTTTTTCATCAGCTGAGTTTTTAAACTGACTTTTGTTATCTTTCATTGTTGCATTGGAGACGATATATGTCTTTCCCAATTCCAACTGGTCATTAAGTGCAGTAATATTTGCGTCGTACAGTGTTACTGTAACTTGATTACCCTGTTTAACATCAGTGAAGTTAGAAGTGTTTATAAAATATACAGGCATAATAAAAGTTTGAAATGATGAAAAATATTACTATTTATGTACCTCTAAATCTATGAAGACAATATTCCGATATCTAGTAGTCGAATTACGAGCAGTCTTAGGTGATTGCTTCCCTATAATGACCACTTTTGCAGACCAATTAACCTCTGAAATTACAATTTGTTGAATAAATTTATACAATCCAGCCATCTTTGATATCTGTTAATAGCAAGAAGAAGAAAAAGAAGTTAGACTAAAAATAGTTATCAAAACGAATAAACAATTTTTTTCGAGAAATGGACAAAATACCTGTGATAAACAGGAAAAGTATCTTTTAAAGAGTTGATAGATATAGAAATAAAATGCATACATGAACTTCAAGTATATATGATATTTATAGAATATCCAGAACTTCAGGATAGAAAGATATTTTAGGGATATTTTGAATTTTTTAATATACAATTTGGGCACAGAAGACATATAAATAAAAGTAAAAGTAGTAGTGTGAGTGTGTGACTATATAAGGTTAATTATATTATTAGAAAGATAAATTTAAAAATAATTGTAGCTATGTGTAAGTTGAAAAATATCCATACTAGGAAGATAAGTCCAGATAAGTTATGATAGTCACGTAAGTTATGATTATACTTGTCTATTCATCATTCAATAAAAGATGAATTATAATTATATTTATCTATTCATCGTTTAATAGAGGAGGGAAGTTATAATTGTACTTGTATATTCATTTAATACAAAATATCTGCAATTAAGCATTTATTGTATTTCATTCTTTCCTTATTAAATTAATACATCAAGCCACTATATTTAAATTTCTATTTCTTGTGTAGGGTTCATAATAACTATATTTTTCATTCTCATTTTTTACATAAATAGAACATTTCTATTTTTTGTGTAGAGTACATCTATATTTTTCATTCTCATTTTTACATAAATTAGAAATGAATGGAGCCTAAATGCGTACTCCACTATTAAAATATATCTAATTTTTTAAATTAAGAATTATATTAATGAAATAAAATATTGTCAACTTAGTTAATTTTTTTACACAGGAACGATAGTTGTTTTATTCTTAGTTATTTATATTTTATATTTGATTAATATAAAACTTTTAAATATCAATATTTGTAAATTGTAATTAAATATAATTGAATGTATGAAGCGGTTGAAAATTTTATTTATGTCATTTGAAAAGTGCAATTTAAATTTTTATGTAAATGGATATGTAAAAATATAATTGTTATCATTCAAGAACATTGGAACTTTACTTTTGACTACTTAATTAAGTTATTCAATTACTACTATTTAGTTAGAAAGCAAATATATGGAAATAACTATTGTCAGTTATCATTATTCACTTATATATATATATATATATATATATATATTTTATTCAACAGTGAAATAAACTATCTCTGAACTATATTTATAATAAAGATTTTTTGTAAACAAACACTGCGTATTTACAAAATGATAGAAATTTTATAAGATAATTATATAACGAAAAAGAACAATGAGAATACAATTTTCTTTCAATTGTCGGAAAAGAAATAACAAAAAACTAATATTTTACATGTTATAAATTTTAAATTTCAGCAACATGTAAGAGTTTATTTTTTTCTCCTTGCATGAGCATATGGCTGTGAAAATCCAAACTATTTTTTGTTTTGTAGGATGGTTACATTCCCATATTGACAGAATGTGGTATTTTTATTCCCATTAATTATTCAAATTTCACATATTAAAGGACGGCCTCATGACCCACATATAAATTTCGAAAATTCCATGTCATGTATCTATCATTTCTTTCCCATCAAAAAGAATTTTGTTCTGAAAGTTTAATACAATATTTTGTACTGGTGAAAATAGCTCATCAAATCGTTTGTATTTAGCTCGTTGAAATCGAATGAGAATTTTCTTTGCAAAAAATTTCGATATAATAACATATCTTGCATTAAAATAGAGATGCTTTATGAATCATTTTTTGAAGATTTACCTGCAAGACAATGGAGAAAAACTTATAACCAAACAACACTAATAATGAAATTTTAGAAATTATCTATAACCTAATTATTGAATAGATGTTCTACAGTACTTAAAACTGTTACAAAATTGATATTACTATTAACATGTCCTCGTTAGATAAAATACTCCGTTTTAAAATTTTCTCTCAACTTCAGGCTTAGGCCTGTACTGTGTTTAAAGATCGTGTGCCTCTACGAAATAATACTATAGAAATATGTCCACAAAGGATTCATTTCAAACTAAACAGTACCAAAAATCTTTCAGTAAAAGATTAGTGTGTTCAAAAATATTGAATACTATGTCATATGGAACTAAAAAACACCAACTAAAAGTTCATTTACATTTTAATAACCATCAAGTCACTAATGACATGACTATAATTTCTAAAATTCTAAAATACCAAAAAAGAAATAAAAGAGCTACTTACATGATTTTTTTACAGAACATCTGACCATCATTTAGCTTCAGTAGCAAACTCAAAACTTCTAATGAGAGTTGTACGTCACATGTACTGTTCCTAAAACAGATGATTAGTCTAAATGAAATGTATAAAAGAAAAATACAAAAGGAAGAAGGAGGATACTTTACTTACTTTTGATCTAGGTGGTCTATATAAGTGTTTGATATATTTATTTTAGTAACCTTAAGTTAATTATTATAATAAAAAATTCTCTAAATGTATGCCTATCTAATATATCGACGCTGCAAATCTATAATGGCTATTATAAAAATAAAAGTAAAAAGTGTTTTCAGCTATAAGATATCGAAATTGAATGGGAAACGATTAAATAATTAAAGATTTCAAAATTACATAATTATATTAGTACCTACCTTTTTCATCTTCAAGAGGACAGGAGTCGTTGATATAATGCTCAGTTGGAACTATCTACAATTGAAACCAGATGAAAGATTACAACTTAGCATACAAAAGCAAATCTGAATCTGAAAAGGAAAAAGAGGGAAATTCAACTATAAATTAAAAGTTTATTAATTACTTGTCTGCTTCAGTTGTGAAATATGTAAGTAGCTTAATGCATACCACAATTTAATGAAATAAAAAATTTATCCATAAAGCCAAATTATTCATTTAAAAAGGATTACAGAAAGTAGTTAAAGAATATATAATTAGTAGGAAATAAGCAAGACTATTTACATTAGTTTCGTTCGAAAGAAGTATACATACAATTTTTCCAATTAGTTGAATGGCCTCGCTTATTTAGCTTGATCACCTACAATATAAAAATACAAATAATAGTGAGTTAGACAACTGCACCTATACATTAGATTTCAAGTATATTGTAATAGCTAATTTTAGTGTAACCGTACAGAAGTAGTATACATTTTATCGTAGTTAACACATACACATACCTTGATCGAAACTATCATTTATTTGTTTTGGTTTGTTTTGCATTGTCATATTCATTCATTCCCTGCAATGAAATTTTTTATATTCTTAAGTCTTACAATAGAAAACAAGTACAAGAAAAACAAAACAAAAGCATATTTTTTCTTATGATGCACAAATAGAAGTGCTCACAATTATAAGGTCACTTTCTTTGAACATATATATAGTACTATACAGAAGCCTGTACTCCATTGAAGCTTTCTCCGTCCTTGTGCTCAACGAATTTGTGCATCAGCAGTAATAGCTTCATAGAAAATGTAGAAGAAAAAAATCGATTATAACTTTTAGAGCATTATTAAGAATTAAGTGTACAAGTATTATTAAAAGTATAAGATACTTACATTGCTTCAATGATATCTTTTATTGATTTATGAATGAAAGAATTTCCTTATACACTACGTTTTTAGTACATGTGATGTGTGAAGTTTCAGCAATTAATGAGTTAAGCAGAACCTTTAAAGATTTGCTTGCTTTTAGCTCTTGATAATGCTACGTACAACTGACCATGACAAAAAATGGCTCCGGAAGATATAAACCAACGAAATCAAGTGTTTGTCCTTGAGCTTTGTTTATTGTCATTGCAAAGCATGGCCTAATCGGAAATTGAGTTCTTTTAAATGGAATTGAAGTTTGATCACTTTGAAGTGGAATAAAAGGGCTTCTTGGTAAAAAAACATACTTTCCACAATATTCACCGGATGTAATTTCAGCAAGAATTACATTTTTCTCAAATTTTCGACAAGTAAGTCGTGTTCCATTGCATAAACCTTTAGAATAATTGATATTTCGCAATAACATGACAGGACAATTTATTTTAAGGTTCAATTCATGAGGCAGAATACCATTTGAAGTCAAACTATTCAAGAAATCTTCTTCAAAACTCTGTTCTGATTTATCGATTGTTTCATCAAAGTTATAGTACGTACAAAATTTACCAGGAATCTATTCCAATAAAATTTTGTTAATATGATTAACACATTCATTTATAGGCATAAGAATAACTCGATTTGCCATCGTATGTAAATTGTCAGCATATGCTTTTATATTTGGAAAAACGTAATAGATCAAAGTTTTTAAAGATTTTATTTCGTTTTCGAATGATACGATAATATCATTTGGAAGCTGAATGCAATTACAAGTATGATGTTGCTCTGTCCCGTTTCCAATTTTTAACAAGTAATCACAGAAGGTAGGATCAAACTTTGCCCTCATATTTTCAACTAATGGCAGATGTACGAATAGGGGCCATAGGTATGAGAAAACTAACCTAACTTTCATTATATCTTTTTTTTCCTCTTGGTACTAGTGGTAGAACGTGTTGAAAATCCCCTCCAAGAACTATAACTTTACCACCGAAAGACAAGTCGCAATCATTAATATTTCTTAGCATTTTATCCACAGTTTCAACAGCACACCGATTTACCATAGGTGCTTCATCCCAGATTATTAACTTACACATTTTTAACAAAATTCCTAAAGCTGATTGCTTACTAACTGAACACTTAATCCACCAATTATTTCTAAAAGAATTTTAAACCTTGAATGAGCAGTTTGACCTCCAAGTAAAAGAGATGCTGATACCCCAGAAGATGCAGTTGCCAAAATAATAGAATTTTGAAACCTTACAGCAGTTAGTAATGCTTTATATAAAAATTTTTTACCTGTCCCGCTTGGACCATCAATGAAAAAAGTAGCACTTGATCCCGATGTTATTTTTTCCATAATTGTATCATATGCAAATTGTTGTTTGTCATTTAAGCTTGATGCACAAACGTGGTCTCGTTCAAGATTCAAATTTGTTGTTTCATTTTCAGCCATTCTTCTTAATCTATCATTCTCATTTATATCTACATTGAATGGTACAATTTTATAGTCGTTTATGTTTTTGCCTAACGATTCTAAAATACAGTTAATATCCTCTAGAGCCCATAGTTCAGCAACATGTGAAGGTATATTTCTATGTACATAATCATCAATTATATAAGATTTGAAATTATTCCACAATAACTTTGGATCATTAGAGTTGCAGAGCACAAGAAGAGTAGCAAAAAATGTCTTAAACAAATAGACATTTCATAAATAATAGATTCGGATAGACATTCTTCATAATGGTTATCTCCACTCAATAAATCATGTGGAAGTGCTGCTTCTCGATATGTGACAACAGTAATCCCAATTAAAGTTCGTAAATCTTGAAATGATGTTGGAGCTCGAATATGATTCATAAGAACATGAAGATAATATCGTTTTCCTTCAGATGGATTTACTGTAACAATTCGTTCTATAACAACCCGTTTCTTTCTGCGAGTCCAAACTTTTTTGTTCGTATTTCAAACGAAATGTGTTGGAAAATCTCGGTACAAAAGTGTACGCGCTAACTCATTTTCTTCATTCATTCGAAAAAAATCCGTTAGCATTGTTTTTCTTGTATTTTCATTTTGAACAACAGTATATAAATTATCTTCATTGTCGTACACTACTTGCTGATGATTTTCGATATGAAACTGTAAAGAATAGATTGTCGAACAAATTTCTGATAGATTGAACAAGAAAACCTTCCACATATTTTCTGGTGGAGATATCCATCTAACAGATTGATAAGCAGAATTTTCATCTATTTCATTCGTGTGAACTGAAAAATTGATATGATCATGTCCTTTGTAAATATATTTGTACAAATATTTGACAGTTTTGATAGAAGAACATACTTCGACATTAATATGACAGTCAAATTTTGCACTTAAACAAGGATTGTATGGTACAACCCATCGATTGTCTAACATTTTGCCTCTAACTCGAATAAAAATATTAGTATCACGACGCTTATACAACGAATATGAATCCTGACCAAATACAGTAACATTACAAAAATCTCTCGGGTATTTATTTTTACAACCTTTATTTCCCTCCATGCATGTATTTTTCGGATTCAAGTTTCCACAAGGATCATGCATTTTGTGTCTAATAATAACAGAATGAAGATGAGGGTATTTTGTTTTGTCAGGAATTTCACATGACACAATTCTATCAACTTCTTCAGCACAAGTGATTTTCTTTCCAGAGTTAAATATTAACAACATATGAGCATGAGGAAGTCCTCTTTTTTGAAATTCAACCACATATATATGTGTAATAACATGCCCTAAAATACTTGCTTTATATAAATCATATTTCAATTCTTCTAATTATGCTCTAAGTATACGTACAATTAAATCAGGTCGATTTTGAACTTCGTCATTAGTCTTTAGTTCTTGCTTAATCTCTGGCCAATTTGGATTACATGTTATAGTTAAAAATATATCTGATTTTCCATAACGTTGTACAATGATCATTCCATCCATATATCTTCTTAGCATATCACGAGGCCCACATGTAAAAGATTGTGGTAAAACAAATTTTCTTCCAACCTTACATACTCTAGTTTCCTCATTTTTTACACTATCTACAATACCTTGGTAAAGTTCAGCATGAATTTATTTCTGATTATTACGAAAATAGTCTAACCTGGCAGTTTCAATCTTAACGTACATATCTACAACATATTGTTGAAATAATCTACCAGCGTGAAGTAATACAAACTTACCAGAAGGCCTAATTTGTAATTTATATGAATAGTATTCTCGACAAGATACCTGAGTACGTTTCTTCGCTTCACTGAGCACTACAGAACCCAAATACAAACCAAATTCAACATTTATTGATTAGATAAGATACTAAAAAAATATAGAGAACTCTAATAGAAGATATATTTGCAGACCTTCATTCTCTTTTTCGATAATTTCAATTGCAGAAGTAGTTGTGTTAAGAATAACATCAGATGTCAACATATGTTGAGGTTGAAAGTATATACTCCTGCATCTCTCAATGCCTTCATGCTAACCAGATTCTCCATACGGAATCAGTAACGGATATTGCAATGGGTCATAACACCCATAATAGTAATGAACTTTGTGTGAATCGTCAGAATGGTCGTATATAGAAATGTCACGAGTATGAACATTAGTATTTTCATTATCTTCGACCCATATAGCAGTTACTTGAGATGTTGTAAGAGTATTGAAAACTCTTTGATCAAGTCCTGGATCACATCGTATTTTGTATTTAATGATCACGCAAGTTAGTGACACCACTTAACGACCTAAAAAATTTACTATATGGATTTGTTTTTAAGATTTCAATTAAAGCAATTAAAGTAGATTCAACAAAGTTTGATGAAATGTTCATCGATTTTGAACTTCATTTTCTGCATCGTAAAAATATAATTGCATATAAGAAGGTGTATTATTTTTGGGCATAAGGTCACTTACATAATGATGTGCTTGTCCTTGAATTCTAAATATATAAATACCTTTATACGTTTTAAAAAGTTCCTTATCGTACTTCACACCAATTGAAGTGAAAGCAAAATGATTATTATATCCCCTTACAATTTTTTTTTAAATTCCGTACAATATAATTATTTATAAGTAAATAAATTATATAATTCAACCGGTGAGTCACATATGAAGAGTTTAACTTTTCCATCAGAACAAAATAAACCCTTACTTTTTCTATAAAATTTGTGTGCATTATAATGTTTACAGTAGCTAAATGTTGGTAATACATATGCAATAGATGGTATGTTCAATTCTTTGAAAGTTTCTCCTAATTCAAAACTAACAATATTACGCATTTCTTGATCTAAAGTTGAAGCGTAAGGATGTTGATGCATTATAGATTCATCTAAGTGGCGATCGATAAAATCATTCTTTTCAGATAACATAGGACCACTTCTCCTTTTATGATAATCATTGCAATTATTTGTAAGTCTTTTTCGCCCCTCTTTCTCTTTTTGAACTCGTCGTTGACGAATGAACGCTCTATGTGACTCATTTTCGCTTTCGGACGCAATGTCAAAGTTAACAATAACACGATTTTCATCAACAGACGTTTCCAAAATATCTATTATAATAGCAAAA